TCGTCCGGCCCCGGAGCTCCAGATCGTGCGGGCACTCTGTGGCCAGCCAGATTTGACGCGCACCGAATGGTCCCTGTCCAGCGGAGACACCGTGCCACATCCCGCGCTGCCGGCTGGAGGCGAACGTGTGTGCCGAGACTGGGCATGGGGCTGGCCCATTGCTATTGTAACAGTGGCCATCTTTTTGTCTAGAATGCGACAATTCCAGATCTAGTCGGCAGTACGAATGTCACGAATCAAGGTGACGTTAGCGCCCTTCTTGTGCTACTCGGCCAGTTGTCACCAGACACAGCATCGACACAGCTTACACGCGATACCATGGGTTTGGCGAACAGCTTCCCTCCCATTGCTGGAGACTTGAAGTCCTGCTCTCCGGTAACGGGAAGCGGAGGCCGCTTCGGCGTGCATGCGTAGATGGGCCCATTTTGATCAATCGCTTTGTGTAATGAACACGGACAAACCTATCGACAAAGCGAATAGACAGGAGCGTTTCGGTCCAGTTGCCATCAGTCATGGCGCGCAGCAGCGCCTCTGCAGAGCCGTTATCAGTCGCACGGAAAAGGGACACGAGGAGCGGACGCGGCGTTCCCTGGATGCATGAGTCAGTGCCCCGACGTCAGCCAGATGAGACGAACAGGTTTTGGCTTTGTGGTATGTCTTTGCAACCCTCATTTCGATATTGGGAGGTGCTCGGAAAGCACGCGAGGGGGCACCAGTCGGTAATCCAAAAAGGAGAGTTTACGAATAAGCAAGCAAGGAACAAACTTCAGCATTCCGATCCCGTCGAGACTCCCTTAGGAATGTGGTCCCCCAAGGAGTTGCTGCTGCTGGGCTGCATCATGCACGAGCCGGCCCCCCATTTTCGGAGACCCACGGAGAACTCTGAATAATATCCTCATGTCCGCCCATCTACATTCTTGGCAAGCGACAGGCTGACAGGTGCTCCGGAGGACGGAGCCACAGGATTAGGTTCACGATAGCCATCTCGCCTCCGGGAAGTACATCCCTACGTTCACTAGTTACTCGTGTCTGTTACTGGCCGCCCGGCAACGCGGCAAATGTGACAGTGCTTCTAGCGCGCAAGTCAACGTTGGCTGGCAAGTGTCCGTCTCGAAAGTCGGCCAAGGCTCCCTTTGTCCTCCCAGCTCGGTGCCATTGCCGCCATGTCGTTGAAAATTTTCTGCAAGCCACTGCCGATAAGCGGACGCAGGGTAAGTAGCATAGCACGCCGAAGATTACCAAAGTAAGCACGAACGGGATGGCTCTTGCAGGAAAAATACACGTGTAGTAGTCTCTTGGGAAATGGTTCACGCGGCGCTAGCTTCCGAGTCCGGGGTCGCCCCCGGAAGACGTCCCAAAAAACACGGCTGGGCTATTATGCCCAGACATACACTTCCAAGTCGTTATCTAGAGCGCTCCTGTGTCTCTGATTGGACGACACGTTATCTCCCCGCCGGCAGTTACCAATTGACTTCACCCAAACGCTTACTTTGGGTTTATTTGGGGGGGAGGCACCGAATGCTCGGGACATCCCCGTGCCCCCAGGGTCAACCACCTATCATAGCCCTCAATGCGCCCGCGATGGGAGAGATAAGGCAACTTTTTAGTTGTGCGAATAGCGTTTCTACTATGTAAAACCAGATTGTCGCGGGGCTGCAGCCAGTTCTATGGGGATTTCCTCGGGCCCAGGTCGGGATGGATCGAACCATGTATGCAGAACCCAAAGTGGCGTGCACTAGGGGGGGTAAAGAGGAAGAGGGAGAGAGAGAAAATTCGACTTATAACACCTCAACACCCTCCGGGTTGAAGAGTCAAAGGAAGAGGAAAGAGGTCAGGTCCTCACCCAGCTTCATCTAACCTCACCCGCAAGCCACCACACCGGCTCACCAGCGGTGCCAACGGTCGTCGTCGACGCTTTCCAGCCTTGAGTTCTAACCCTATACCCAAGGTCCCCCCCCCCCCGTCACCGAGGCCTCACCGAACCATCGGCCGACAGAGCCCCATTGTTCAAGACCCCAAACCGCAAAGATGCCTGACTGGAAGGCCATGTTCGCCCCGGCGCCGTCACTGGACGTGCCCGGCCTCGAGACCGTCGACCTTGCCGACAAGGAGATGGAACGCCGCATCGTCCGCAAGCAGGACCTCAGAATCCTCCCCTGGATCTGCTTAACCTACCTCTTAAGTACGTTTAACATCCAGTCTCCCACCGTCGCCCACCAGCGTCCCGGGCCGTCACTAACACCGCTGCAGACTACCTCGACCGTGTCAACCTCGGCAACGCCCGCACGCTCAACAACGACACGCCCGAGGACAACATCGTCACGATGCTCGACCTCACGGGCCAGCGCTACAACGTCGCTGTCGCGCTCTTTTTCGTCCCCTACGTGCTCATGGAGTTCCCCTCCAACATCATGCTCAAGTACTTCTCGCCGTCCAAGTGGATCTCCCGCATCATGGTCTCTTGGGGCATCGTCACCATCTGCACCGCCGCCTGCACGACCTACGGCGGCCTCCTCGCCGTGCGCATCATGCTCGGCCTCGCTGAGGCCGGCTTCTTCCCCGGCATCATGATGTACCTCTGCTTCTGGTACAAGCCCGAGGAGCGCGCCACCCGCATGGCCATCTTTGCCTCGTCCGTCGCCGTCGCCGGCGCCTTTGGCGGCCTCCTCGCCACGGGCATCTCCTTCCTCAACCGCAAGGGCGGCCTCACCGGCTGGCAGTGGCTCTTCATCCTCGAGGGCATCCCCGCCGTCATCGTCGGCGTCCTCGTCTGGTTCATGCTGCCCGACTACCCGCAGACGGCCGCCTGGCTCACGCCCCAGGAGCGCGCCTTCGCCGTCAAGCGCCTCGGCCCCTTTGCGCCCTCGATGGGCGACAAGCACTGGGACAGCAAGGTCGCCAAGAAGACCGTCGCCGACCCCTACTTTTGGCTCTTCGCCGTCATGTACTTCCTCATGACCAACTCGCTCAACGCCTTTGGCTACTTCGCGCCCACCATTGTCTCCTCGCTCGGGTTCAAGGGGTACAACGCCCAGCTGCTGACCGTCCCGCCCAACGTCTTTGCCATGTTCGTCATCATCGGCAACTGCCTGCACAGCGACAAGACCAAGGAGCGCTCGCGCCACGTCATTGGCGCCCTCATCTTCGTCGCCATCGGCTACCTGCTGCTGGCCGTCGTGAAGCACTGGGGCGTGCGCTACTTTGCCGTCATGATCATCGCGTGCACCAACGCCGCCGTCCTCCCCTTCGTCGCTGTAAGTCTGACACAAAGCACCTCCGTTTGAAACAAAAGAAAAGAAAAGAAAAAGGCACAAGAGCTAACGTGGCACGCAGCACCGCACTGCGACCGTTCAGGGATCCACCGCGACCGCGCTCGCGACGGGTGGCATGATTGCCATTGCCAACTGCGGCGGCATCTCGGCCCCTTTCCTCTTCCCGAGCACCGACTCCCCCATGTACAGCATGGGCAACTGGACCATCTTCGGCTTCCTCGCGGCCACGGCCGTGCTCACCGGCTACGTGTGGTACGTCTTTGGCAGCCACTCGGGCTACCGGACGGGCGCCAAGGACGCCGCGGGCAACCTCGAGGTCCTGGATGCCGGCGCCGGCGACCCAGACGAGCTCATGAACAAGAAGATGGGTATCGTGACAGACAGCGATAAAAGGGACGAGGAGGCATAGATGCGGACCAGCACAAGTGAGAGTGGGGATTTAATCGTTTAATCGAAACCAGAGAGGGTTAGAGAGGGTTACGCAAATGTACGGATATAGAGAGACTGTTGATACCCCCGCTGGCAAAAACCAGCGGTTGCCCCGAAGAGGCACGAAGAGAATTGTTCTGTTTTATCAAGGACGGTTCGGTTTCGACATGTTCCGTGATGTTTGTAATTCTCCCGCGGCACAACAGCATGACGTGCAGTTGACGAATGGCCACGGACAGCGGTGCTCGCCTTCCGGAGCCGCAGGGTTGGGGCAGAAGACGTGGCTGCTGAGAGGCAAGGGGGAGGGAAGTAAAGTTCAGCAGAAACTAAACGACTCACGATCCAACGTTGCGTGAGATCTATAGACCAGGGGGGTGTGCTGGCAGCGGTCGAGTCCTCGGGAGCCTGCGGCGCGTGGCTTCCGTCCCACGGCGCTTCAACCCACTGCACTCCGGCAAAGTGCACGGCAAAGTTCCCGGCAAAGTTCCCGGCAAAGAAACTTTCGGGAATGACATGCGCCGCGACCTCCTGGCGCCCTCCAGAACATTTTGGAAGTTCCATGCAGGGACAGGGCCAAAAAAGCACGCGAAGGCCGTTCCTAGTTGTGTCTGTCTGCCTGCCTGCACGTCGAGTCATTGCTCCCCCTTTCACTGCCTCACAGAACCTGGCGCGTGGTCGGTTGTTTGCAAGGTGCATCTTTGTAAGGACCCCCTAGGAGTCTGTTCTGCGATAACAGGACCAGCAAAACGAGACCCGAACCAGAAGATAGATAGCTCACACCGCAAAAACACAAAAGATTTGGGCCCTAACCAGGGATCGAACCTGGGACCTCTCCCAGACTGAATTGCCGAAGACAACCCTAAGGGAGAATCATACCGCTAGACCATCAGGGCGATGTGGATCGGATTCCATGTGTTGCCAGCTGGCTGGTTGTTGTAAACGGTGTTAAATTTGGACACTATAGCGGTCTTCTCTTTGGGAGCGCCTTATGAGATAAACTCCAGGTGACATCGAAACTCTTCTCATCCTCGGCACGGGATTGAGTAAAGTCTAAGGGCACATCACACCCCCAAGGGTCCCTATGAGATTAGAGGCGTGTGCCTGACGTAAACTTTGCTGAGGCGTTATTTCAAATTTTGAGTTATACTTTCTCGGCCTGCGTTACCGATCCGCTTGTCCTTGCACACACACACACACACGCATATGCACGTTCCTTGCTTGCCCTTTTTTTTTTTCGAAACGCTGCAGTACGTGAGAACCTGAGGCCCCCTGATCCCACCATCAACGCATCGCGTGACTTTATTCCTCGTCCTCAAACGTCACGGAATGGGCCAGCGCCCAGCTCCGGATGTCTTCAAAGTTGCGGCAGGTGTGCAGCGTGCTGAAGTCGGGCCAGTGGCCCTCGACCGGGAGTTCGGGATACATCTTGAAGGTGAAGACGCCAATGTCGGCCTGGCACATGAGGTTCATCCGCAGCGCCTCGATGCAGTGGTCTGCAAAAATGCGTTAGTGGCTTGGGGGTCATCCTCATCGTCAGTGACGGGTCTAAGATGGTGACTTACCGACGTGTCCTCTCAGGTCCTCGGGATCGGTGGCGACGTCGCCGCCGACCTCTTCTCTCGAGTAGTAGTCGGAGTACGTAGACATGCGCAGAAGGTTGAGGCAGTGGAGCTGGTGAAACACCTCGAGGCCGGCGCGGTACCCCTCCTCACCCGTGATGGGGTTCGTGATCTTGATCGACTTGGGGTCAAGGCCGAGCTTCGTGAGCTCCGAGTGAGAGATCATCTGGTCGCCGACTGCCATCCGTCAGCTATGATGTGTATACTTTGCTTGTGCACGACTGCTTACTGTTGTTCGTGATGTGGTCCCACGCTCTGTCAACCTCGTACCCAGCCCCGACGAAAGGTGACCAGTCCATGATAGGCGTCAAGTTGTATCTCTCGGTGTGGTACTTGACGATTCCCGCCGCAGGGGCTGCATGATGTTAGCCACGAAGAGCCGCGCGACGAGGGGCGTGTTACGTACAGTACGACGAGTACTTCTTGGTATAGAAGCTGTCATCTTGCGTGTTACCGTAGCGCAGGCAGACCGACGCCGCAAAGAGCGTGACGGACGTTGTCAAGAGGGCGGCGTGGGCGAACCAGGGCCAGTAGCGCAGCAGCCGGCGAGCCTTTTCTTTGCACGGGTGCTCGTCGCCGAGCCTCATCCGTCTCCATGTCGGGCAGCCTGCGGCAGCGGTGTCCACGTTCTCCGTGCTCTCCGTGTTGAGGCTTCCGGCGAGGCTCTCGACCTCCTCCTCCTCATGGGGCACGGAGCGGTAGACTTTTTCGGAAGACATGATTAAGAAAGTATAAGAAGTAGGTACAGAGATATTTGAGCACGCCAGGTGCTAACTAGAACGAGAAGAGAATACAAGACAAAGTGACAAAACGATACAATGATGAGAAGGGCAGAATCGAAGTGGCTAGACAAACAAACAGAAGAAGAGAGAGAGGGGGGGGGTAGGTAGCACTGCACGGCAAAGACACAGAAATGGGAACAAGTTGGAGAACACCAGGCCAGCTGTCCGAGGGTAAGAAGAGACGAGTGCCAAGGTGATCGCTTCGCTGACGAAAATCGGATTGTCGACTAGTGGTTGATCCATCATCGCAAAACCCGTCCACGTCAACCAAAGAAAGGGCGAGAGTCGGCAAATGCGCCACAGCCGCCCATCTCAACCAGGTTTGGGCACCCGAGTCTCAACCGGCCCATCACTTGGCCCTCGAGAAAATCTCGCTTGGCAGAAAGAATGTCATCCAGTCCACCAGAAACGTTTGGGCTGTTTGATCTTCGTTGCGAAGTTGCGACAAGCCATGGAGAGAGACCTTTCGTCCAAAGCAGGAATAGACGACACAATTCGGCTGCGTATGGAGGCAGCCCCCCGGTTGGGGGCAAGGGGAAACCGAGGCACGGCCCCTCTCGTCCAATCAGGATGCTACCCTGCTGCGAGATGGCCCCCTTTCTTTTTTGACAGTTCCACGGATGAAGATGGGTTGGAAGAGTGCAAGGACATACTGTAATGAGCGTATGCGTCCAGCTTTTGGTTGCATCCGCGGTCCTTGTCAGCCCGACTGGCCCCACTGCTCTTTTTTCAGCTCTTCCCCTTTCGAAGGACCGTTGTGAGAGGTGGTGGCCACGACTGAATCGTTGGTGCGGTGTCTCAGAGCAGGGGTGTGTCGAAACGTGGCGCTGAAAAGACAGGGAGTGGCCTGCGGGGCGAGAACCAACCATGCCCAGCCAAAATCAACGTTCAGGAACCAGCCCAAAAAACCTCCTGGCGTAGGGCGCGCGCGTCTCTGCGGCTCAAAAAGCCGGTTGCTTATTGCCGTATTGGACCATGTCCCGGCCTCCCTCTTGTGCCGTGGGCTCCTCTTGATCGGTGGCCAGTCCGGGGCGTATGGTTTTGTCATTTCTTGGCGCCTGGGACTGTAGCTGTGTCAGAGATTCCTCATGCGGCTCTCCTTTCGAAATGGATCATCACGAGGCACTTACTGTGAGCGGTGTACAGACTGATGATCCGGCACCACGGCGGCGTCGTCGCGACGACCTTCCGCGACAACTTGCCGATCAAGCTTAGCATCAGATCGCGCTTGGGAAACGGTAGGGGGCGGTCTTGGCCCCCTAGCCCTCTGTTCGCCCAACCTCGTGTCCAGACTGAAACTGCAAGCGAGTCCAAGACGGGAGCCATGTCTTGTTAGCAACAAACTAATCCTCCGAAGGATGCCTCTGGGACGAAAAGATCCGCTGGCAAGGCAGTTCGGCTCGAATCCCTGTCCCAAAAACTCCCCGCATCCAATGCTTTCGACATCATCGTACTGGCCCCGACGGGTTTTGAACGAGTCCCATCTCGCGCGGCTCGCTCAGTCCGAGCTGCACATCGCGAGCCGCCATAGCCCATAGCCCTGTCTCTCCACCCCCTTTCAGACCCTTTCCCATCTGGGCTCCGTACTCTGAGACGTTTCCAGTCCTATACAGCAAGCCGATCACAGGTTTGACGCCTTCCAGTCGACGGATCTCGTCTGAACTCGGAGGCCCAACCCATGTTCGTCACTTGCGCCATGGGGACGATTTGGACGCAAGAGGACCAAGTGCCGAGAGGGGTGCCATGTCATCCGTTGCTGAGGGACGAAAGACATGAGCAAGATATAATATCTTCTCAAACCCGCTCATCAGCTAACCATTGCCTGACCATCCACACATCTCATTCCATTGTTGGCCCCTGATCGCTCGACGCGACCTTTCATTCCTTTCTTCCGATAATTTTCAGTTGCTGCCATTTGCTGCCGGTCAGCCAATCATTCTTTTCAAGATGCATTACCCTACTTTCGGCCACTTCCTCTTGGCGAGCATCCTTGCCGTCCAAGGTGCTCACTCCTTCTCCCTCATCCCCACGGGCCAGGTTGCTAGACGCTATGCCGTAAGTTCAGAGCCATCATGAGTCTATACTGTGGATCATTTGTACTGATACGAGGTTCGATAGGCTCCCGCATTGGCACTGGCACTGCCTGCCTTGGCTGCGCCCCAAGTTGCCAACATCGAGGCCCGCGAGGTAAGATACTCATCCTACTTAAACCTGCGCACATCACAGAGTCCAATGCTGACCCGTCCCCTATAGCCCCACCACAAGGGCAAGAAGACCAACAAGGCCAACAAGGCCAACGGCAAGCGCGATGTGATCGCTGCTGATGACGCTGAGGAGGAGGACGATGTCGACCACCCCATCGAGGCTCGTGAGCCCCACCACAAGGGCAAGAAGACCAAGGCCAACAAGGCCAACGGCAAGCGTGATGAGTCTGCTATTGAGGCCCGCGAGCCTCACCACAAGGGCAAGAAGACCAAGGCCAACAAGGCCAACGGCAAGCGTGACGTTGCTGCTGATGATGAGGAGGAGGACGATGTCGACCACCCCATCGAGGCTCGTGAGCCTCACCACAAGGGCAAGAAGACCAAGGCCAACAAGGCCAACGGCAAGCGTGATGAGTCTTCTGCCACCATCGAGGCCCGCGAGCCTCACCACAAGGGCAAGAAGACCAAGGCCAACAAGGCCAACGGCAAGCGTGACGTTGCTGCTGATGATGAGGAGGAGGACGACGTCGACCACCCCATCGAGGCCCGCGAGCCCCACCATAAGGGCAAGAAGACCAAGGCCAACAAGGCCAACGGCAAGCGTGACGAGTCTGCTATTGAGGCCCGCGAGCCCCACCACAAGGGCAAGAAGACCAACAAGGCTAACAAGGCCAACGGCAAGCGCGATGTGATCGCTGCTGATGACGCTGAGGAGGACGATGTCGACCACCCCATCGAGGCCCGCGAACCTCACCACAAGGGCAAGAAGACCAAGGCCAACAAGGCCAACGGCAAGCGTGACGAGGCTGCCGACCACATTGTTGAGGCTCGTGAGCCCCACCACAAGGGCAAGAAGACCAACAAGGCCAACAAGGCCAACGGCAAGCGTGAGGAAACTCTCCAGGCTCGCGCCTTCACCGCCTAAAGGGGTCCAGTTTGGCAGATCAAGGGCCCAGCAACTTGGTGCTCTAACTATGCGCCTCTTGAGTTGAGACGGGCGCTTGGCCTGCTACGGGTAGAGTCCGAAGTTCACACGGGAAATCAACACAGCTTCGGGTTCGGGTTCAGCAAGTCTGGCCAATGCTCTGTAGATTAGAATCAGCTTCATCATTTTCATACCATACAGATTTTAAAAAGTAATAATGACGGTACTCAAAAGTGGAACCTCTTGGCCAATCCTATCCGTGCGAGGTGCAAGCGTCAAACTGCACAGTCCCAAGGCCTGACCGCGGCATCCCGAAATTGTCTGAAGAAAATCCTTTACCGCTTGCATGAACCACCGCATGATGCGACGAAAATAGCGTTTCGCCTCAGCCAGCCTGTTGGGGTGGTCTCGAAACAGTTTGGATCCGCACTGGTTGTAACGCGGGGTGGCCAGGACATCCTCGCCTTCGCCGCTCGCAACAGACGTTGAATGAGAGTGAGTAAAGCGGGAAGGCTGATTAGTTATCAGAGACCGGTTGACGGATTCCCCCTCTGGTATCACGCGCCAACTGGTCCGGGACTACTGGCATCCGGAGATGCCATGACGTTTACTGTTCCTGAGGCCGCTTGACTCGGCAAACTGAAGGCTTTCGAGTTTCCACCTTTGCCGAGAGTTGCGTGTCGACGTGATCTACCAGGCCGCACTGGCGTTTGGGTTCGCGGGGATCATAGCCAAGAGCTGATTTTCATCTTGGGGTGCAACTGTCGGATATCACATTTGCTGTTCCTCTCCCCAGAGTCCTGTTGATCGATTGGCCATCTCCCGCTGATTGGACCATGGAACATAGACGACCATCTTCTAGATCCGTCTCACTGGGCAACCTCCAAGATTCGTTGGTCAAGTACTACATCGAGATGACAGATGGAAGTTCAAGTACGGCGACCGACAGAACGTTTAATAGTGTTTACCAAGAACCGTACGGTGAAGCTTGATTCTGCCGAGAAAACAATGAGCCGAGCTTAGTGCTGGTGGTCAGGTCTACTCGTCTGCCCAAGTTGAGTTTCAAAGGTGCAGCTAACCAGTGACAAGAATTCTTGTACCTGCCAGAGAATCCGAGTTAAGCCGATACTTTCAGGCTCATAGAATTTTTTTCTCGTTTCCTGTTTAGATAAGCAGATCGTGGAAAGGAGGCGTCGACGTGCGCAATTGATGTCGTAGGAGATGCGTCTCAAAACAATTGGAAGGAGTGGAAGCTCTCCGCGTTATCTAAGTTCTCCACGGGGAGGAGTCCACTTTCACTTGCTTATGTAACGACCAAGCACAGCTTTATCTTATCGATAAGATATCACGAGCAGGCAGCTGGATGGTGGGGTAACTGCCGGCACCGACGTCTCCAACCTTGCCGTGAACCTCCAACTACACCTCCGCCATCGCCACCTGCTGCAAACAAATCCTGCTCTCGCGGAACAGAGCAGCCAAGATGGAGACAGCTCTCAAGTCGTGGGGTACGTCACATCGTTCTATTTTCCCTGCCATTGCGCACCGAGGCCATTGCTGACCGTCCCTTCCAGAGCTCGACAACAACGTCAAGTTGGTCGACCCGAAACGCGACGCCCTCTACAACCTCGATCTCGATGCTCAGAAGGAAGCGATGAATGCCCGGCCCTGGGCCGTCAACCCGAACCACTTCAAGAACGTCCGTATAAGTGCCGTTGCCCTCATCAAGATGGTCATGCATGCCCGATCCGGCGGCAACCTCGAGGTCATGGGTCTGATGCAGGGTTACGTCAACGGCGACACCTTTATCGTCACAGATGCCTTCCGATTACCCGTCGAGGGAACCGAGACGCGTGTCAATGCGCAAGGCGACGCGGAAGAATACATGGTCGAGTACCTGAGCCTGTGCCGCGAACAGGGCCGCATGGAGAACGTCGTCGGATGGTACCACTCCCACCCGGGCTACGGCTGCTGGCTATCCGGCATCGACGTCGGAACTCAGGCCCTGCAGCAGCAGTTTCAGGAGCCCTTCCTCGCCGTCGTCATCGACCCCGACCGCACCATCAACGCCGGCAAGGTGGAGATTGGCGCCTTCCGGACGTATCCCGAGAACTATATCAAGGAGAAGGAGGGAAGCAGCGGCGGCGTAACGAGCGACGGTTGGCAGGAAGTGCCCCTGGCCAAAGCGGCAGAATTTGGCGCACACGCGAACAAATACTACAGCCTTGAGGTGTCGCACTTCAAGAGCACGCTCGAGTCGCATCTGCTGGAGCTGCTGTGGCACAAGTACTGGGTGCAGACGCTGAGCCAGAGCCCGCTCATCACGAACCGCGACTACGGCAACAAGCAAATGCTCGACCTTGCGTCTCGAATCAAGGAGACCACAACACAGGTGGCACGACAGGCACGCGGCGCCTCCGGGCCCAACGCTATCGGTGCGGGAGGCAGGAAGGTTGATGGGTTGATTGAGAAACTCGTGAAGGACAGCAACACGGTGGCGACGCAGGAACGGACCGGGTTGGTGGCGATGGATGTCAAGAAGAAAATCTTTAACGACGTGAGCGCGAGTTCGTCGTGAAGGGGAACGAAATGTTCATAGTATTGCTTGCCCTCGCCAGAGGATTTCACGAGGCCCGCTGGGCATGATAGATGGCGTTCAGAGGATAGGGAGGGCGTTGGCCCTGAAACGACGACATGATTTTGAGCCACACCTTTGATCTTTAACTGATGTTCTTTTTGAATCCATGCCATTGCTTTCAACTTCTGAATAGGGCTGGCCCGCCTAGCTTGGTGTTCGCTGTTGGAGCTGCCCTAGTTGTGGCTCTCAAGATCAAGCCTTGTCATGACCGTTTTATCACAAGCTATCTCCCAGATAGTCTGAAGACTCTGGTGTCAGAGACTCCTGGAGATACCGAGCGATCTTCAGATGGCCTGCTTCGAGCCACTACGTTCATCTCTGGCGGGGCAATGGGAACCGAGCTCATGTTGATCTCAGGTGGCTGGGTCTTTTCACCTTGGGACATCATGCGGATGTCTTAGTTTTTGTGTTGGGACTGAAACTCCTGGTTACCCATGGTGTCCTGAAGGGGATTTACCAATGTCAAAAATCAACTAAGCTCAGATGCCAAAATATATTCATGGTTTGATTGGTATTGAGTAGTCCTCAATGCATCGAGACACAAACTCGAATGGTTCTGGGCTGTTCCATCATAGGCCAAGAGCCAAACAAGAGCCAAGCTCGACGAGCCTAGAGTGCGTTTCCCTGTTTCAAATCGTATCGTCAGCCACGACTTTGACGACAGAAGACGAGTAGAACAAGAACGGTATAATCCGATCTTGCCCTCAACAGTATCGTTGCCGTCACCAGGAAAAGGTTCTTCTATGGTCAATGTTAATTAAATATGACTCTCGGGTTAGACTTTGCTAGACCTGGCCGTTAATTTCATGCAGATGATCATGTTCTCGCTGTCATTTTGTGCACCCCCACGCAACTTGCTTACCGGCAGCCAGGCATATGCAACCCGCAGCTTAGTATTGACGGTGTACCGGCACAGATACTCGTTACAGGAGAAACGATCGAGGTGGGCCCGCTCCATAGCCCTAGTTTAGATAAATCATCACTTAGACCTCGCTGATGGGTTTCTGAAAGTTTACAGCAAAGAGCGTCGGGTAGCGGCAAACGCGCACACACCCTCTAACACTTTACAATAGATCGAAGGCTACGTATTCTGGTGAGGCTGAAGCCTTGCGAGGTTACGCAGCTTAGATCATAGCCAACAGACAATCAAATCAAACTTGTACACCTGAGGTCAAATACCAGGATCTACTGATACTGACTCTCGAATCATTGATATAATCTTCGTACATGTAACAACAAATACAACTCTGACTCTGTCTACGCGCTTCACGATATTCCATGCTTCAATTTCTCGTCCTTAACAGACAGAAGAGACCGACCTTTTCTTATGTTGAGGCTCAGCCATATGAAATGCTTATGAAGTATTCTCCCTTGACAGTTCCACGTTTCCGATCCATTGGCTACCCTGGAAATTCCCAATACAAACAGTAGAGTAATAGTTGTACAAGTAAAGAAATGGTAAATTGCCAGGCTCCTTCCGGAGTCTCTCCCGTGGGTAAGCAACCCACTCACAGCCCAGACTATCCGCAATCACTGACTGCAACATGTCTAGACAAACTGCCGATATTGAGCCATCAACAGTACAGAAGTACTGTGGCCTTGAAACGATGCAGAAAGCCTGCACAAGTATGGTTAGGGGCTTACAACGCCAGCTCTGGACTCGGGGCGGAATATAAAAGTACGGCCCAACAGATGACATATTAATGAAGAAACCAAAGGAATCCACGGGTATGTCTGGGCAAGAGGCGACTGTTTGACACAGCGTGCAGCATAGCAAGTCTGCACATTCTCGAACGGAATCAAGGCTGCCCACTGCAAGTCTTGAGCAAACCAAACACCACTACCAGCTCGTCAAGATTCCAACAATTGATGCCCCTGGTTACGTTGCCTCTGCCACGAGACATGCATCGATAGTGGACTCAACTGAAAGCTTACAGCCCGGACGAACCAGAGTGCACATTGTAAGATATCAGCATTTCAAATCAACACCCGCGATCACACAGCTCCCAAGTGGATGCTCGGGTGACACCTTGCTGTAGCCAGCTGACCGGGATCACATCAACTGCTCGCAGTCCCACGCAAGGTATTTCAGTAATGGAAGGGGCTTTGCGCGCTTCCTTTATCGAGTGTCATATTACATCTAAGTCTTGATGAAATTGGGGCGGGCCGTGTCAGAGGCATACAACATATCTTTTCTGTTGATATCCAAATCCAGAGATGACGTCTCCATTTCTATGCCCGTCCTTGCAACACTTTTGTGGCGATTCCATGTCCTTGGCGGAGAACACCGCCGGCATTAAATTTCACGGTGTTCAGCACCTACTCTTCCACCTTGCTCGCGTTCTAGTCTCCTACGTTTAGGCGA